CCAACATTTTTCAGTCAGGTCATCTGGACAGTTTCTTTTTTTTTTTTGTGCTGAAACGTTTCGCCTTCAGTCCGGAAGGCTTCATCGGTCAAGGAAACACACAACAAAACTGATTCTTCTCCCAACAGCTTACTCCAAAGTGGAACAAACCAGTTTTGCTTGTGAGAAGATGGTCTCTTCCTAATGGTACTTCCTTCAGTTATTTAAAAGCTCAGTCTTTGCGCCCATCCTCTTTACAATCTACATAGGTAATGTAGGTCAGAGCATCCCTGATATATCCTTGCATTTCTATGCTGATGATACAGTTGTTTATTATCGAGCTAAAACATTTGCTAAGGTTTTCCTGCTTTTGCAATCTGCTTTTAACATCATCCAGTCTGATTTGTTCTGTCTCAAACTTGTCTTAAACAGCAATAAAACCAGATGCTTTTTTCAAACAGGAAGTCGGTCCCAGCGGTTCTTCCTCTGATTTTATCCTCGACTGGAGCCCCTATTGAGTTTGTCGATTCAGAAAAATATTTGGGTATCTTGGTCGACTCGCATCTCTCTTTTAAGCTTCACGTGGAAAACTTGGTAAAGAAACTGAAAGTTAAACTGGGTTTCTTTTTCAGAAACAGATCCTGTCTAACTCTGAATGCTAGAAAACGCCTTGTAACTGTGACTTTCCTTCCCTCCATTGATTACGGTGACATTATTTACATGAACGCTCCTACAAGAACCCTGCAGATGTTGGATGCTGTCTATCATGGTGCACTAAGATTCATAACTGGCTGTAACTACTGTACCCATCACTGCACCCTTTGTTCACTGGTTAACTGGACATCATTAACTTCACACAGACTCTCTCATTGGTACATTTTCATCTTTAAATCACTTCTTGGTCTGTTGCCTTCATACATCTCCTCCTACATGTCTCTGTGTGAGTGCAGCTACAGCGTGCGCTCTCAGGACATTATTACCTGCAGTGTTCCCTCTGTGAGAAGTGAACTAGACAAAAGGGCCTTCTCCTACTCTGCTCCTGTTTCCTGGAATATCTTGTAAAACAATCTGAAGCTCTCGGCCTTGACCTCTCTAAGTGGCTCCAAACATCTGCTAAGTTCCTGGGAAAAACAACAAAGTCCATGCTCAATAATCCAGGTATACAATTCTTGGGAAAAACCAGTGCACACATGTTCCTGTTTTTAGTTTTTTACATCGCTTTACAATCTAGCTGTTTTTGTTTAGTTTTTATTTTGGGGTAAAAGATAATGGATGGATGGATGGATGGATGGATTATTCTTCTCAATTTACAAGCTTTGTTTATGACTGTCTACTCTTGTCTTTGTTGTCTACTGTTGTCATCACCCTTTGTTAAAAAACAGGACTCTCTTGTAAATGAGTCCCCGAAGCTCATTGAGACTAACCTGTATGAATAAGGGTTGAATGAAAAAAAACTAGGAATACCTTTAATTACCTGTAGTTTATCCATCCATCCATCCATTATCTTTACCCGTTTATTCCATTTTGGGTCACGGGGGTCGCTGGTGCCCATGTCCAGCAATCACTGTGCGAGGGGCGGGGTACACCCTGGACGGGTCGCGAGTCCATCACAGGGCCACATAGAGACAAACAATACAATTCACTCTCTCACTCACACCTAGGGACAATTTAGAGTTACCAATCAGCCTAACATGCATGTTTTTGGACTGTGGGAGGAAACCGGAGCACCCGGAGAAAACCCACGCATGCACGGAGAGAACATGCAAACTCCACCCAGAAAGGCCCCTGGACCGGAGTTTGAACCAAGGACCTGCTCACTGGGAGGCAGCAGCACTACCAGTTGTGCCACCGTGCTGCCTACCTGTAGCTTATATTAGTATATTCTTCATTACAATTTTTTTTTTACATTCTCTCCATTGGCTCCCTGTCAAGTCCATATGCTTAGACTACTTGAGGACAAATTGACCTAATTTCCTTAAATGATTTGTTAAAATTGAAAAGTTTTCATTTAATACTATTTCTATCTTAACATGGTGTTCTTGACCTGTCATTGTGTATCTGTTCCTCTCAAACCCAGCCAGTCGAAGCAGGTGGCCGCTTGTCCTGAGCCTGGTTCTGCTAAAGGTTTTTCCTCATGAGGGAGTTTTTCCTTTCCACTGTCGCCTTCATGCTTGCTCAATATGAGAGTTCTGTGATGGAGTTAAACTCAAAGCAGTCCGCTCCTCAGATATATAGTGTTAAATGAGTGTTTCTGTTCAGTGTCCTGAGATGACTTCTGTTGTGACTTGGCAATATAGAAATAAACTGAATTGTATTGAATAGTAGGAATGTTATTTTACATCTTTTTAAACATTCTAACCAGTCAGAATATCAATTTGACTTTGATTAAATCTATTATCATGATCTAAAGAAGTAAATAGAAAGAGGAGTTTATTTTGATCATATAACAACAGCCTGCCAAAAGGCACTATGACTGATTATTTTTAATCAGGCACCTCTCTAGACAGCTACAAACTTCTGGTGGGGTCCTTTTCCTGTAAGCTAGGTTTATTAGCAGTCAACATGCCGACCGTCGGAGTAAAAAGAGATCTTCTCTTCAGAGCTCTCGGCAGAACTTACAGTAAATTATGTCAAATACATTTTTCAAGTTTCGGATATACCGTTTGTCCCTTTTCACGCATTTTTAGATTTAAAATAAAGTAAAAATTGTGGCTAAACTTGCTCCGTGACAGCGAGACACAGTCACGAACCAAGTTTAATCGCTTTTGGGGTTTATTTAATTTATTTTGAATGGAAAAGTAATTTACTTTAATGCAATTTACACTATATGGATATTTTACCCTAAGTGATTAACTTTAGGCGTGTGGTTAGGAAAATGAGTCCTCTGACAGTGGTCAGTGTGGTTGCATCATTTCCGCTGGCTGAAGATGGGACTGGTTCAGAGGATGATGCTGAAACGGACCAGTTTACAAATGTCTGTCTCCATCTTCTGCTTTTACAGCTGACGAGGAGTTTGACGAGTTGTGCTTCGAGTTTGGGCTGGAGCTAGACGAAATCGTAAGTAGTTTTGGTTATTTCTACCAACGTCCTTTTTGAGATTTTGTGATCAAAATAAATCATTTTGTGCCAGACTATAAAAGTCAGACTTTTTTGTAATTAAAGAAGAGAACACTAAACGAGCTTTTTGAAGGTCTCTTAAAGTTTTCCTATTTATATTTGCAGTTTTTTTCACAAATATTTAGCACGATTCTTGTTGGGGATTTTGGGGCGTTTTTCACGTCCTTCATCTGTGTTTAATGACAAAAACAATTGTTTACAACATCAGAGTCAGAGTCAGAGTTTCTTTATTGTCATTCGCACCTCATGTGGTACATGTGGTGGAGCGAAATTATGTACACAGGGTCCCAGTTACATCCAACAATAAAATGTATAAGAAAAACAGTAATAACATCTAAGATATGAACTAAGAAAAACATCAACTAATACACTAAGCACTCATAACATAAAAACATTGAACATCAGCACAAACATGAACATGAGTCTGTGAGCAGATGAGCACGCATGAACACATCAACATTGAAACAGATCAGCAGCAACATGAAACAGATCAGCAGCAACATGATATGGTTTTTCACAGTGATTATTCTAGTTAGAGATTCATGAGTCTAACAGCCTCAGGGTAGAAGCTGTTCCTCAGTCTAGTGGTTCTACACTTAATGCTCCTTAACCTCCTTCCTGAGGGGAGTGGGGCAAAAAGTGTGTGTGCTGGGTGGGTGGGGTCCTTCATGATGCAGGTGGCCCTCTTCCTGCATCTGGAGGTGTAGATGTCTGTGATGGTGGGGAGGCTGACTCCAACAGATTTATGTGCAGCCTTCACCAGTCTCTGCAAAGCTTTTCTTCTCAACATGCATGTTGAGGAAGGATAACAGCTGTAATGTTCAGTTCACTCACTTTTTCATGTCAGAATAAAACAAGTGCCTGGCTGCTAAATATTTAACTTACACAGAATGTCTAATAATGTGTCTCTGACCTTTTGTATTAGTAGGTTAGAGTCAAAATAAACCATTAAGTTTAAGCAGCTGTGTTGTGAAACACAGTCACACTCAAATGCCAAGACACATTTCTTTAAAATATGTTGTGAAACATATTGGGCATGTTACAGGTGGCGATAGACAAAAAGTTTTCACGTGGCCACCATCATTCCAACAACTGAAAGTTTTTTGGTTTTTTTCCAATTTTTTTAATTAATTTCTAAGCGCAGGGTTGCTAGCTATCCTCATTATTCATGTGATCAACTGGCTGTGACTCCTGAGATCTTTTTTTAGAACAAACCTGTCTCTTTACTTTTAACTGCATCCCATTGTTTTAAATTATGATGGCATTACTTTGTTCCTAAAATCCTTAATAATTTGAACAATTAAATTGTGTCGATAAATCCTCCAATGGCGACGGTGTTCCATAGCAGCTTATCCTGCTGTCAGCCTGGACTGAGACTGGACCAGCACCTGACAGAAATGGACTGTACTTATATAGTGCCTTTCTATCTGATCAAGATACTCAAAGCGCTTTACACTACAATCTGTGCCTCATTTACCCATTCATACAGCACTCTACTAGATCTCTACAAAGCTAATTGAACAAATCATTCTAAAGAGACTAATCAGAGCTTTATCACATTCATACACTGATGCACATCAGAGGCAACGAGGGGTTCAGTGTCTTGTCCAGGGACACTTCGACATGTGACTGCTGGCGGATTCGAACCCCCAACTCCTGCATTGGAGGACGACTGCTCTAACCACTCAGCCACAGCCGAAAGTTAGAGGTGCTGATGGAAATTTTCATTCATTCATCCTTTATTTATACAGGCTATTCTCATTGAGCCACAAGGACTCATTTACAAGAGAGACCTGTTCCAGACAGAACAAATAAGTACAGACAACAATAACGATAAACTACAGTAAAAATGCAGTTAAAATAAAGATAGCTATAAAACAATAAATCAGGGCGCCGTAAAACAGGGTGAAATACTAAAAACAAGAACGTATTTGCTTTGATGTTTCTGTTGACATTATCAAATGTTTCAAATCCCCTAAATAAATTAAGGTGGACAGCTTCAGTTAAATAAATAAGATGGGTTGCTCTTGAGATGATCGAGGCGTATTGCAGAGCGCTCGGGTTTTGATTTGAATTGTAGCTTGATTTACAGTTTTAAACTTAAACTAACTTTACACTCTGTATCTCCGAGCACTTTTCAACTCGTCTGTTGGAAAAAATGCACATCCTGATTCTTGCTCAATTATCCAACAAAGTTCAGTCAGGTCCTCTGGACGGTTTCTTTTTTTTTAAACGTTTCTTCTTTCATCCAAAAGTCATCATCAGTTTGAAAGACATCTGAAAGATGAAATTATACATGTATATATGTGTGTGTGTGTGTGTGTGTGTGTGTATGCCATGACTGACTCAAACGAGTCAGCAGGGGACAGGACAGACTCCAGAAACCATCTGAGCACCATCAAACTGGTTGGCCCACTATGTGAAGGTGCTTTTTATAAGACTGAGTTTGTTGTGGCTCCTCAGACTGAAGAAGTCTTTTGGATGAAAGTCGAAACGTTTCAACACAAAGAAACCGTCCAGAGGACCTGACTCAACTTTGTTGGATACAGGATTTTACATTTTTCTTTTACGCTTAGGAAAATGTTAACGCAATTTGAGTGCAAACAAAATCATAGCAACAAGATGATTAAGTTAGGATGTTCTTAAAAATATTGTTCTTTGTTTGTTAGCACTTTTCAAGACACACAAGGACACTGTACAAAGTATTAAAAACAAGTGAAAAAGGCTACATTAAAGTTGGAAAGCTAACTTGAACAGATGAGTTTTGAGTTGTGATTTTAAAGTAGGAAGAGAGTTCCAGAGTTGTGGAGCAGGGAGGGAAAAGCTGCTGACATGGACAGAAAAGGGAGCAGGAAGAGGTGGTGATGTGCAGGGAATTTCAAACGAGTTGACATGAAAGATTTGTCCAAAAGCTGGTTACACTCAGGATGAAGTCCTGAGCTGTTATGAACCGGCCTTTTCATAACGTGAACCCGAACATATCAGTGAATCACTGTGGGTCCAAAAGGGAAAAATGCTGTAAAATCTTCCCTAAAAATCTTTGACTAGGTCACAAATTTACAAGAGTTAATGCAATGGTGGAAAAAATACTTTAATAAAATGAAACACAGACTTTTAAGTTTTGCATTTATATAATCTGCTATAGTTTCAAACAGCTTTGCATGTATACATCGCTGCATGTGAACAAATAATTATCCATCACATAATAAAAGAAAGTGACGTGTGGCTTTAGAGTTCTGCTCAGTACTGGGGTGCACCGATAAATCGGCCCCGGTTTTCTTAATTTTGGGAGATCGGCCGATATTTACATGAGAAACCAGTTTGACCAATTTTTTGTAGTTTTAACAACAATTGTCTGAACTTCATTTGTTTTTCAGAGCACTGCCTCATGGCCACTTAAAACAAGTTTGTATTGTTTCTAGGATATTGTTCACGGGTATGTTTTTCCAATAAAATAAGATTTGAAAATTGAAGGTGCACTGTGACCTTATAACACCTGACAATGTTGCTTATAAAACAGAATCGGTATCGGCCAAAATCAGAATGGTCATATCAGACTTTTTAGAGATTGGTGATTGGCCAGAAAACTGCAATCGGTGCACCCCTACTCAGTACTGTACAGCTTCATGAAGGCAGAGGCAGGTCTAAAAGATAAAACGATCTCTGATGTTCTATAACTCTGAACTCCTCTGCTCTGTCGCCACCACAGACCTCAGAGAAAGAGATCATCAGCAAGGAGCAGGGCGACTCCAAAGCTTCAGGTGCGTCTGACGTCATCCTCTACAAGATCGACGTACCCGCTAACCGCTACGACTTGCTGTGTCTGGAGGGACTGGTCCGTGGACTGCAGGTCTTCAAGAATAGGTGAGTCTCCTCCTGCTCCACATGAGGGAGAACTTTCCAAGCACGTGCAAAACCCACACCTCTCTTTAGGAATACAGAGATGATGACTGCTTACATGTTTTTACACTAGAAGGATTTAAATCCATGAGCATGAGTCTTCCTCATTCACGTACATTAAATGTGTGTCAGAGTCGACGCCCCTCGCTACAGACGTGTGAGCCCAGTCAGTGGAGACCCTCAGAGGCTGATCATCACTAAAGAGGTTTGTGAAAACACATTTCTGTTACAAGACTTGTTTTAAAATGAGACGTGCTGGATCCACTGACGCTTTATTTTCCTCGTGTAGACGGCAGCAGTGCGAGCCCACGCAGTAGCAGCCGTGCTGAGGAACATCACTTTCACTCAGGAGCGCTATGACAGTTTCATCGAGCTGCAGGACAAACTACATCAGAACATCTGCAGGTCGGTGGAGATCAGGCATGAACTCATGCAGGGGTCCTTCTCTTAGCTCTGAGTCTGTAGCTGCTGGGTGGGAGGCTATGTTAACTTGTGCCTCGTGTTCCTGTATCTGTTTACACCTGGTGTTCATGTGCTTCCTGGGAGACCCAGTCTCCAGTAGACCAGGTGTAAACACAGTCAGGAGGGACTGGACGGTCAAGTTCAGGCCTCAGAACCACGTGCACTTTACATTATTGTTAGGATTGAACATTCAAATTCATACACTGACTGGTTACAACACAGAACTGACTGACTGGTTACAACACAGAA